GGTATACCTCACGCAAAGTTAAAACAAGACAACACACGAAGAAGAAGTGCTACCAAAGCTAAGATCTGAAGGATGAGGAGGAACTGGCCAGTGGGAAAGGGGAACAGTGTTTCCGGAGGAGCAGCCAGCATGTGCAAAGGCCCAGAGGCAGGAAGGCATGGGGTTGCTTCTCGTCTTGGCTCTGGGCTCCTTTAATGATGCCCCTGCACCTCCATTCTCTATGCCTCCTCCCACTCATTTGAAGGCAAGAGCAACTGTGCCATGAAATGTGTGTTCTTGAAAAGGCCCTTTCACCCCCTCAAGGCCTCAGTTTCCCCATCTGTAAGAAGGGTAGAAGGGTCTTTAGCACATGGAGTTTTGCTGACAGTCGGGATAAAGATGTTCACCAGTCGCCTGTCATATGGGAGTCAGTCAATAAAGCCTAGAAGCAAGGGCCGCCCAAAGTCCTGGCTCCCCCCGGGGTGACCCAGCATGGTGCTCATCAGTTCTCTGCAACCCCCAGCTTTGATTTCTTGTCACCAGGAGCTCAAATCACCACCTAGAATGGTCCCTGGCAGGGCTTCACGGAGCGCTGGCTTGTGATGGCTAGCGCTTATGCACGCCACTTCACGCATGTGGACTTATTTTATTCCAGAGTAACCTTAAGAGCCACTACCCTCCCATTTTACAGAGGGAGGAATGGAGGCACAGAGTGGTTGAGTGACGTGCCCACAGGCACAGGCACACGGTTCGTTGATGGAGCCTGGCTCCGGACCCCCCTGCTCATAACCACACTGCCATACGGCGAGATTATACAGTGCCGCCCAGGCCGGCCTTCATGAGACAGGCCCGCGGGGGGCCTGGAGAAGGTGCTGGAAGCAGCCGGGGCTTCCCACAAGGCTGCTGACCAAGATCAGCGCTGTCTGGGCAGCCAGTGGGACACTCCGGCACCTGATGGTGGTGAAGCCCACGCCCTTTTCGAGGAAGGCAAACCCACCCAGAATAATTGTTGAGACAACCCACAGCTTAAGCCGCTTCTGAGCCCGGAGGTGCTCAGGAGGGATGAGGCCTGGCAACGTGCTGCCGCTACGGGCCCAGCCGGTCACCTGCTGCCAAGTCTTTTTTTTTTTTTTTTTGGCTGTTGTTCTCATCATTATTATTTTCTGGGAAGAGAGACGGGACATCTCAAGAATTCGCCTGCGCTGCTTGAAGAATTCATTTTCACCTACAGCGTCATGTGGGGCTTGCGGCCACTCCCTTTCTTCTGTGCCATCATGTTTTACTGCTGTCTTTCATTGTACTGGGAAGAAACTTCATGGGAATGTTCTAGAAGCTGCGGGCTGAGGGTGGGATGGGGAATGCAGGGGAGAGGGAGCAGTTTACTTCCCCCTGGCTGCATCCCGAACTGAGATGCCAGACAGGGTCCTCGGGTGTGGGATTGTGGGAGATGTCTTTTCTCCCCTGCCTCTTTGTACGTTTTTGGGCTTTCTATATTTGCATTAGCAAAAGAATGGAAAAAATTCACGGTGCTAATCGCTGATATTTACTGAGCAATTGGCATTACTACATGCCAATTTTACTCTTACTCAGTCATTTAACCCTGAGGACTGCCCTGTGAGGGAGATAGTCTTACTTGGTCCTATTTCCAGATGAGGAACCAAAGTGCGGAACAGTTAGTAGGTAAGGAAAAATCCCAACTATCAACATTTAAAAAGAGATTGTCGCGGCATCTGGGTGGCTCCATTGGTTACGCATCCGACTTCGGCTTAGTCATGATGTCTCGGTCGGTGAGTTCCAGCCCTGTGTCGGGCTCTGTGCGGACAGCTAGGAGCCTGGAGCCTGCTTTGGATCCTGTGTCTCCCTCTCTCCCTGCCCCTCCCCTGCTTATGCTGTCTCTGTCTCAAAAATAACCATTTAAAAAATAAAAAGAGATTGCAATAGCAAGGAATTATCCACGAGGACTATGTATTATGTGTTTCCATTTATATGAAATGACCGGAAAAGGCCAGTCCACAGAGACAGAAAGTAGATCAGTGATTGCCTCGGGCAGGGGGTAGAACAGGGAATACCAGTAAGAGAGCGCCAGCAATCTTACTGGGAGAGATGAAATATTCGAAAACAGGTTTATACTGATGGTTGCACAACTTGGTAAGTTTCCTAAAATCCACTGAAATGAGCAAATGATATGATAAGTAACATACAGTTCAATAGTTGTAAAACAAAGAATGTAGTTAAAATGAGAAAAATCTAACATTTATTGAGCACCTGTTCTGCACTCGAGGGGAGTTTTTTCTAGCACTAACAGCCCATTTGCTCACCTGAACCCATCTCTGCGGAGCACCTCCTGTGTGCCAGGCACCGTGCCCGGATACGGGGCTCTAGCGAATTAGACTGGGGGTTCTGGCTCCAGGTCACTGCCTGATGGAGATCGTGGTCTAGTCAGTGTTAGGAGGTTGGGGTGGGGATGGGGTAGAGGTGCAGATGAGAAAGCGGCGACAAGAGAGTGTAGCTGGGGGCTCTCCTGGGGTGGGCATGGTGCTGATGTGGCCCAAAGGCCCACCTCCAGCCCAGACCCCGAGGATGCGGGGAGGACAGAGGTTTTATGCATGAGGTTGGGATCTGAAAGGTGAGGGATAGTTACCTGGTGACATGCCAGGGGGGTGGGGTGGGAAGAATGAAGTTGTTTGTCCATTCATTTATCAGTTCGTTCATTCATTCATTCATTCATTCATTCATTTAGCAACTATTCATTGAGAGTCTATCACGTTCTCCAGCACTTTGACAGGGCAGACAAGGTGGCCGTGACAAGGAGGCAGTGCCTATAAAAAGAGCCTCGTGGGTGAAGTCGTGCCCATTTCACTGATGAGAAAACCCATCCTTATTCAGAGAGTGGAGGCTGGCATCCCTCCTGAGGATATTCTTTTCTCTGAGTGACCCCGCCCCCCACCCAGTGAAGAGCTACCTGGGCTCCCTCTGGATGACGGATGGGGTGGGGGGATTGGTGAGGGTGTCCAGGGCTGAACGGATGGAACGACTGACCTCAGTGAGCAGCTTGGGGTAGGACCGAGCATTGGACAGAGAGTGGAACAAGAATTCTAGGCCAGGCTTTGCCACCAATTTTCCGGGTGACCTGTGGTTAGTCCCTACCCCTCTCTGGACCTTGATGCTATTGTCTGTAAATTGGGAACCCTGGACTAACTTCTTTTTTTTTTAATTTTTAAAAAATATTCATTTTTTGAGAGAGAGGGAGAATGAGAGAGAGACAGAGCATGAACGCGGGAGGGGCAGAGAGAGAGAGGGAGACACAGAATTCGAAGCAGGCTCCAGGCTCTGAGCTGTCAGCAGGAACACGAGATCTTGACCCGAGTAGGATGCTTAACCAACTGAGCCCTCAGGCGCCCCTGGGCTGGCTTCTTTCTGAGCTCCATCTGCCTGGTCGTTGATGACCAGGACTTCCGGCCTCAGAAGTCCCCAGAGCTATAAGGGCTTGTCTTGGTTCCTCTGAAACTTTCTGGTGTTAGCATTGAAAGTCCCACATCAAGGGGAACCCTGGGTCCTGGGCAGATGAAGACAGCTGGTCGCTCTCCTGGTAGGATGTCGGGTTAGCCTCCCTTCTCATCTTACCCATAAAGCAAGACACACAGCATCTCACTCTGGCTCCTTTGTGGCCACAGCACTATTTTCTAGCCATTTTGTTGTATATTTCTACAGCTCAGCTGGAAATCCCTTTGGGTACTATTTCCTCCATTTCCTTCAGATCTTCTGGTTCTCTAGTCAGCCACCTCCTCCAGGCCAAGTGTCCCTTCTTGCACCCGTCCCACGCCTCAGGATTGGCTAAAATTTTGACAGTCTTCATCAGCTATCTCAGAAGTCCTTAAACTCTTGCCTTCTGATAAGCGGAGGCTCTGGGCTGAAGCAAGTGCTCTGTTCATGATCACAGAACGTCCGAATCTCTTCAGCGCCCAGGACAGGGCTGGGTGCCCCCCCCCCCCACGTCAACTCCAGGGCAATGGAGCCACTCCCCAGGTGTGGCTTCTGAACCCTTTCTGTTCCACAGGCCCCTTGGGCTTCTGCTAAAGCCTGTGGTCCTCTTTTCAGAATAATTATTTTTAAAGTTTTATTTTAGAGAGAGACAGACAGACAGACAGCGGGAGCAGGAGAGAGGGGCAGAGGAAGAGAGAGAGAAAATCCCAAACAGGCTCCATGCTCAGCATAGAGCCTGACAGAAGGCTTGATCCCACAACCATGGGATCATGACCCGAGCCGAAATCAAGAGTCGGATGCTCAAACCAACTGAGCCACCCAGGTGCCCCAAGAATAATTTTAAAAAATGGCATTAGGATTATAATCAAAACAATTTCTACCAACACCTTAAATAATAAGACTTAGTGGTGGGTCTAATATGATCTTAATTTCAGAGTCGTGGTAGCTTAAATGATATTTTGAAACATCCACAGTAACTGTAGTACCGACCTGAAAATATCTTTAATTTCCATTAGTAACAAAATCGCGGGGACTTCTACCGGTTGCCTGCACTCATGGTCAAAGAAGATACTAAATACCATTTAGAGAGTAATGAAAATAAGGATATAACGTTTGTCCATCCCTGTGACATAAATTCTATCCTCAGCCGCCTTGGGGCGATCCTGAACTCCTTCTCTAAGGCCAAAGGTTTTGATTTTTAGATAAACTAAATCACCAAGAGTGGAGAGAACAAAGAGTGAGGAACAGTGACCACGCTGGGTTGGACAAAGCAGAGAACGGTTTCAAGACAGGTGAGTTTCACTGCTGTATGTTGTCAAGGGGAGCCCATTCCGACAGGAAGCAAGGAACCGAGGATGGGGGAAAGAAACGTGGGCAGGGTTTGCCCTTGTGACCAAATCAAAAGCCCGTGCGTGACCTCATCCTGGAGCAAGCCCGAGTCTCCTTTGTGTCTCTTTTGTCACTGAGGACACCCAACCATTGTCCCTGTGAGACAAGGTACCTGCCCTCAAGCTGATACACGAGACAAAACACAAAAGTTGAGGAGACAAAATTAAATTGCAATTTGAAAAATGCAGCTGGAAGAATCTGGAACATGCCACAGGTCTGGTTAAGTGTACACAGTGCAAGCCACAGGCATTCAAAGGTGCGGGCCACCTCCCCTCTGAGGTTTATGGAGAGGATCAAATGGGAAAATGGCACAGGAGGCCAGCAGCCTAGGACTGTCGCTTTTGGGATGCGCTTTTGGGGTGGCGTGTTGTTCCTCTGGTCTCAGCGACCTTCTCTGTAAAATGGGGATAATAACTAAGTATGGCACCTGACATATAGGAAGTGCTCAATAAGAGGAGCTATTATTAGCATTAAAATTAACAGATATTTGCAAATCGGTTCAAGAGAGCTTGCGTTTTGGGGTGGTAGATCTGAAAAGACTGGCTGAGGGACTGAATGAATGAATTCTCGGGTTGGCTCCGCCCTCCAGACTGGTTCCACCCCCTTGCTGCCCCTTAAACAGTTGGCTGAAATGTACCCCAGCTGCGGGGCCCCCTGCCCTCTGCGTGTGAGTGTGCAGAGGCGGAAAGGTGGTCACTCAGGGCCGGAAACAGCAGCAGCAGCCCGGGCTGAGCTTTCGGATGTCATTTTCCGGGAGGGTCTTCGCTCAGTCTCCCTGCCCGCTCTCCCCCCGACGCCCCGTCTCCGCCGCCCCCAGCTCGGCTCGGCTCCTCAATGCCCAGGGACCAGCGGCTCGCTAGTGCCCAGGTCGATCTTGGGACAACGAACTCTCGCCCATAGGCGGGGGCAAGCGGTGCAGGAGCCGGCCCGGGGCCACCGCGTGGGGGACGTGCTGGCGGAAGCTCTGCCTTATCCTGGGAAGGTCGATCTAGGCCGCCCCAGATTGGAGTGGGGGTGGGGTGCGGATGCACTTTCGGACCCTTTGGTCCTCCAGCCCTTCCGGGACACCCCGTGGGAATTTGGGGTCGGGGGAATCCGGGTAGGGAAGGGAGAGAAGCGGAGCCTCGTTGTTAAAGGATGTGGGGGCAGGGGCGCTGTAACAGGGAAACGTGCGCTGCTCAGGCTGCCGGCCCCTTTAAGGGGCCGGGCTGGCTCTGCGGCGGTTCCAGCTAACCGCGGGCCTGGCGCAGCTCTGCGGTCCGTGTCCCCAGGCAAAAGAATCCGAGCCGGGCCGGGCGGCGGGACCCGGCGCGGGAGAGGGCGTGGTCCAGCCAGGAGCCAGGCGGAGCCGGAGCTGCAGACAGCCAGTCCGCTCAGCGCAGAAAGCGGCGGAGAGCAGGGGTGGGCGGAGCCACCGCCCCGTGGGCGGGGCCCGGCGCTGCGGGCCTAGGGGGCGGGGCCTCGGCCTCCGGGAGCGCCGCAGAGGGAGGCGGGGTGGGCGGGGCGAGGGCGGGGGCGGAGCCTATGTCTGCAGTGGGCGGGGCCCGCCGCAGAGGGGCAGTGCCGGGCGAGAGTCCTCTGCGTGCCGCTGCCGCGGAGCCGCCACAGCCACTCTGACAGCCGCGGTGCTGGGACCCGCGACCCTCACCACCTCAAGCAGCCTTCGCGGCCTCCACCGCGGCCCGAGCCCCGTCCCTCGCCTCGGCGCCCACATCCGGGGGGCGGTCCGGCCGCCGTTGCTGCGGAGGCCGCATCTGGCGCGCATCTGGAACCGCCCGGCCGGCCGCGCTGGAGCCCGCGCCCGCCCTGGCCCGGCCGCGCCGGGAGCCCTGCCCGGAGCTGGAGCCGCACCTGGAGCCGCGGGCCCGGGGCCCTGAGCCGCGCAGCCGGCGCATGGTGAACTCGCTGCTGTTCGGGGAGATGGCCTTGGCCTTCGGCTGCCCGCCGGGCGGCGGTGGCGGAGGCTGCCCCGGCGGGGGCGGCGGCGGCGGCGGCGGCGGGGCCGGGCCGGGGCCGTCGCCTGTGACGGCGGCGCTGCGGGACGACCTGGGCTCGAACATCCACCTCCTGAAGGGGCTCAACGTGCGCTTCCGCTGCTTCCTGGCCAAGGTGCACGAGCTGGAGCGGCGCAACCGGCTGCTGGAGAAGCAGCTGGAACAGCAGCAGAGCGAGCGCGAGCGGCGGCTGCGCTACAAGACCTTCTCCCGCGAGCAGGCCGTGCAGACCGGGCCCGAGCTGCTGCGGCCGCCCGCAGCGGGCGCCGGGCTCGGCAGCGGCAGCGGCGCGGCGGCCGGCGCCAACGCCAACGCCGTGGCCCTAGGCGGCCTGCCCCCCGGCGGCGGCTCGCACCCGCAGCACTACGGCCGCCTGCCCGGGACCATCTGGAGCTACACGCAGGTGCGGCGCACGGGCGGCGGCGGCGTGGAGACGGTGCAGGGCCCCGGCGTGTCGTGGGTGCACCCCGACGGCGTGGGCGTGCAGATCGACACCATCACGCCCGAGATACGCGCGCTCTACAACGTGCTGGCCAAGGTGAAGCGCGAGCGGGACGAGTACAAGCGGAGGTGAGTGGGGACCGCCCTTCCCCCGCGCAGCTCCCGGGGAGGGGGCGCCCAGGTCCGGGAGGCCGCGGAATGCGTGCGTGCGGGAGCGGCCCGGGCGGCCAGCCGGCCCTAGCAGGTGGGCTGGGAGCTGTGTTTGCCGGGCGCCCTACACGCGCTCGGGGAAACTCAGTTACCTAGTTCCAAGAATGGGGGGCTGGCGCTGACTCCCATAGGGGACACCTCGACGCTGTCATTGGTCCAGGCAGGTTGTCTTCTAGGTGACATAATAACCACTGGTGTTTTATGTGATCTCGTTTCATCCTCGCCCAAGGCAGAGTGTAAGGCAATCTTATCCCCGTTTTGTAGATGAGGAAACTGAGGCACAGATATGCAAGTGACTTGCCTAGGGTGACTTGGCTGATAGCAGTGAAATCAGGGTTTGAACGACTAGGGAATTGAACGACTTTTGGCTAGTTTGTGTGCCGCTCTAGGTATTTTCCACGGATGTAGGAGGTGGGCTCCTCTCTGTGGGTGAAAAGAAAAAACTCAACCAATCTACTGGGTTTTTTTTTTGTTCCTTGAATTAAACGAGATCATATGTTTGAAAATGGGTAGATCTGTCCCTACCCATTAGTGCCAGAGTCTGCCATCTTGCTCTGGCTCTGCAGGGTCCAGTTAGCGGGGCCTACATCAGACTGGCCACAAGCTTTTAAAAATGCCTCCTTTCACCCCTCTTCTCGCCACCCCACCACTGTCATGGCTTATCGAGCCCCCACAGACTCAGCCCTAAAGGCCCACAGGAGGAGAGAACCGTGGGCTGGAAACTAGACATTGAATGGACCCAGACCACCATCTCTGGCTAGTGTGGGGAGCAGACTGCCCGCAGGACCAGCCTGCACATTCCCGCCCAGTCCCGATTCCCCGGCTGGGACACGACACTGCTTCCTGCCTGCCTGGAGCCTGACCTCCAGGACTGATGGCTCAGCTTTCCAATAGGAGGAGGGGGTCTGTCTGTAGCTGGGGGCAGGGCCCTCTGCTGCCCCAGACATGGGCGGCTCTCCACATTGGGCGCCTTGGCTCTGAACTCTGAGGCTTGGAGCACATTCTGAGAAGGGTCTTTCCTTCTATTCCTTGAGTCCTGGCGCTTGCGTGAACATAGAGGTCTGTCTGCTCAGGGAGCTGGGCATGGATCTTAGTCTCCTTCCTTTTCCTCACTGGGCACGACTCAAATTCCAGCTCCATCACCCGGCAGGGAGTTTGTTGAACCATCTGGAAGGCTGTTTGCTCATTTAGAGAGACAGGAATAATAGAATCTACCCATACTTGCAGAAGGGGACAGGAAGATGGTGATGCTTTTTGGAAGGGATAAAGTAATCCGTTGAGGTTGTTAAAGATGAGAGTCTCAGGTCTCTCTCATACAGGGCCTGACTCTCTGGGCGGAGGGAGGGGCTTACAAGGAGCTCATCTCCTGGGCTGGTCTTTTCTGGAGGCCTTGAGAATGTCCTGGTGGCCCGCCACGGCCACATGCAGGCTACCTCTGCCTCTGTGGGCAGCTTCACTGGGGTGGGATAGAGGGAACGGGCACTTGCTCTCGATGGTGAAGATGGTGAAACTTGGAGGGCTGGGCCCTTCTGTCTGCCACTGTTAATTGTGTCGTCATGCTCCAGGCTTGTGCTGTGTTTGTTTTATTGTGTGTGCTTTTTTGGACCGGGCTACTAAGGAGATGGAAAAACCATGCCCAATCTCAAAGGGAGATAGGCTAGCGTTGAGCAATGCTCTATTCAAGTTGCACCCAGGGCGTGGGGTGTGATGTCAGCCTCTGGCGTTGGCCTGGAATGAGATGGCCATCGCTGAGGCAGGTGGAGTGTGGGTGCCTTCCGCCCACCCTCTGGGCTGCACGAGCACCTTCTCTCCCTACATTTTTTTTTTTTTTTTTTTTTTTTAATGAACCAGGGAGGTGCATCTTTTCTGAAGTTGATTCGGGGCTCAAGCTGGATTTTTCCAAAGCAAGTGTACTCCCTTCTTTGGGACTCAGGTTCCCTCTCTGTAAAGTGAGGGGTGAGTGGATAGAACCATGCTCCCTGAAGCCCCAGGCTGTTATTGGGAGTCCTGAATATTACATGGGACTTCCTATTTTAAATTATATTAAAATGTTAACATGGTTATAAACATGGGCTCACTTTTTAAGTTCACGTTAACTCCTTGAGGTCCACTGACAACAAATGTGCTAGTAGTTGGCCTCAAGTTAGAGCCACCCTCCTGCCTTCTCTATTTGTCCGAAGAGTACTCTGACATTGCAGAGCAAACCGCTAAAAACCATTCCCATTTGTAGCTGCTTATCTGTGTGAGTCAGGATTTTCGTGAAACTCTGCAGCCAGAACTGGAGACAGAATTAAACGGAAAGTGACTCTGCCATCCATGGTCCCCATTCTAAGTGTTAACGAATCAAAATAGCCTCATCAGCTTTGCTGATTGAATTTAGAGTAGGTATATTTGAAACATCTATATTTGAACTTAACAATATAAATGATACAAGTAACATTCTGTGTCTGTATTTGGATCTCTCATAACAGTTTTCTCTTGGGAGGAGGGCAGGCATCTGAACAACTTAAAAAAAAAAAGTTAGGGGTTTCTGGGTGGCTCAGTCAGTTCAGCGTCCTACGCTGGATCTTGGCTCAGGTCATGATCTCACGGTTCGTGAGATTGAGTTCTGCGTCAGGTTCTGTGCTGTGGAGGCTGCTTGGGATTCTCTCTCCCTCTCTCAATACCCCTACCCTACTCTCTCTCTGTCTCTCTCTCAAAATAAATACACGTAAAAAAAATTTAAAAGCCACCGGGCTAGGTGATCTCAAAAGGTCTTCCCAGCCTTGACAAAATAGAATCTTGCATTTGAGCTCACTGCCCGCTTCCGGGCTCCTGTCCGTGAGAGAAGGCACGGTCTGAGGGATGGGCCCACACTGTTTGCTTGCGCTGTTAGCCACTGAAGGCTTTACATACTTTCGGGATGTCTAGCATGGAGCCCCAAGCAGTGACCAGTGGAAGGTACCCGTGCCAGGAAAGGAAAGTTCCTGGGTTTCCTCTGGTCCCCCTTCCCATCCCCGGAGGAACTCACAGCCTTGGACCCCACCACTTGCTTCCCCAGAGGGCACCCCGGGATGTGAAGCTCCGTGTTCTCTAAGCTGGAGGCCTTTGGGTTCCCCCTCCGGAATGGGTGGCCATAACCACGTACATTATTCCATGTATAAGCGATCCTTGAACAGTTTTACTGCGGTGCAGTTTGTATATCATAAAATCGTCTCATTTTAAGTGAACAATTTAGTGATTTTTTTAAAAAAGTAAATCCATAGAGTTGTGCGACTGTTACCACGAGCCAGCTTTAGAACACTGGGATCCCCCCCCCCCCCTCCAAAAAAAACGATCCTTCGTGACCATTTGCAGTTAGTCTCCATTCCCAGCCCAGGCAACACAGATCTGGTTTCTGTTTCAATAGGTTTGCCTTTTCTGGACACTTCACAGAAATGGAATCGTACCATAGATAGTCTTTTGTGTCTGGCTTCTTTCACTTAGTGCTTTTGAGGTATGTCCACGTTGTAGCAAATTTCAGTAGTTCCTTCCTTCAGGTTGGTGAATAATGTTCCACTGTACAGACAGACCACGTTCGGTGTGTTCGCGCACCTCTGTGGTCAGTAGATTTAAACGCGAGAAGTCACCTGCGAAGCCCCTCAGATCATCTCGTGTGCCATCAGTGGTATAGCAACCGTGCTTCGGAAGCACCCAGCCCAAACCAGAACCTGGGGTGCCTGGGCCCTGGCTCTGTTCGCTACGGCTTTGGGTTTCCCTTCGGTCCAACCAGCTCTGAGCTCTTTACTGTGAAATGCGGTGGCGAAACTAACTATAACACCGACAAGGTTGTCAAGCGCTGATTTGGAAACCACAACAAACATCTCTGCCGTGTCACCACCCAGTGCCACCAAAATATCCTATTCTGAGTGTGCACGCTGGGGGCTTTTCCCTGGAGATTCCCGCTGAATCTATCTGAACTTTAATCAAGTGGGGGTTTCTTTGCATCACATCCAAGAGACCCAGACTCCAGGTCTGGTTCTGCCGCGAGGCGCTGTGTGACCTCAGGCTAATGGCTGCCCCCTCTGAGCCTTACGTCCTCCATCTTTACAGGAGGGGGATTTCCTTTTGGTGACCCTTTCCAGTTCACTCTACACTTTGGTCTGTGACTCCGAGGGGTCTGGGTCAGGGTTCTTTCTGCCTCATGGGACGGCAGTGTGGGCCTCCCCATCTCCTGCCCCAGGCCCAGTATGGCTTGGAACTGTCTGGTTCCCTTCCCTCCCCGCTGCAGGTTGCTAAATGTCTGTGCCCCTGACTCAAGTTAGCACGAAGGGCTTGGTTTGGTGGCTGGGTGATCGGAGCTTCACTTGAGAGTCAGAAGGGACCACAGCTATCATTTATCCTGAAGGTTCCCACATGGGCCCTTCGGAGCCCCGGGATCCAGGCCTAGATGCCTTGGGGCAATTCTGGGGACAGCAAGTGGGGGTGCAGGACACCTGGGGTTTGGCCTTCGTCAACCACAGAAGCTCCATTTCTGTGACTGTCACATTGATCTTCTGTGGAAGATTCAATTGGAAAGCAGGGTTCTATGACTTAGAAAGAAACAAAGAAGAGAAATTGCTGATTCAGCTGAGTTACTTTCATGTTTTTTTTTTAATGTTTTATTTATTTTTGAGAGAGAGAGAGAGACAGCGTGAGCAGGGGAGGGTCAGAGAGAGAGGGAGACACAGAATCTGAAACAGGCTCCAGGCTCTGAGCTGTCAGCACAGAGCCCGACGCGGGGCTCGAACCCATGAACCGTGAGATCATGACCTGAACCGAAGTTGGACGTTTAACTGACTGAGCCACCCAGGCGCCCCACTTTCATGTTTGAGGTGGGGAAACTGAGGCCCAGAGGGAGCTCACCCACAAAGCTGGGCTGGGAAGAACTTGCCTGCTGTTGAAAGGTTTCCCTACCCCTC